TAAAAACCTTATTTTTTATTTAAAAATTATTTTTTATTATTTAAAATAATTTATATTATAAAATAATTGTTTCAAAACATATTAAAAATTTCTTTATTTTAAAGTTTAAAGTGTGCCAACAAAAATAATAAGACGAAACAATATATATATAAAAAAAAAACAATCTGCCAATCATTTGTATAATTTAATGCAATCCGTACTACATGTTAAAATTTTTCAGCTTAAAAATACGGTAGTAGGTTGGTAGTGCTAGCAAATTTATACGAACCCACGTGGCAAGCATTTAAGCTCCTCCGCGTTTGAGGACGACAGTGGGCATTCTTATATGGTGACACAAGTGGGGTTTGCTTGCTAAAGTATAATTTATTTGTGAACCGAATCTCACAAGTTGCACATTAATAAGTTGAATAAAAAAATGAAACCAAGCATTCTATTATTAGTATTGGATTAATTCGCCTAAAAAATAAATAAATAAATTCACAAAAGCCAATAAAAGTAGAATCTCATGCCCATACGATATCCATCCAAACTAGTCTCACAATGAAACTTCTACAATGTTCCAGACCATTCTGGAATTTATTATTAATATTTACCAAGAAAGATATTTAACCAAAAAAAGTTTTTTATAAGTTGTATTGTATTGGGCTAAAAACCTTTGGCAATAGATGTTAATTTCTCTCCTTTCTTTTCTTTCTTTTCTTTTTTTTTTTTTTAATGTTAGGATGAGATTCAAATTTTACACCTATTAAGTTTTGCATGAAAAAATTTTTATAATAGAGAGATGCCTAGTATATCACAAAAATGTTCTTTTGTTAATATCTTTATTTAATGGTTGATATTTTATATTTTTATAAATTTTAAATTATGAAATATTAAACCCTAACCCATTACTTGTGTGGTTATCATGTGTGTATTTCTCTCACATCACCAAAGTTTAACTCCATTGTATTCTTATTTTTCCTCCCACAATTTCCTTCTGTTCAATATATATATATATATATTGGATTCATTTAAACAAATCTTGATAAAATTAGTAGGAAAAGAACAAATTAAAAAAAATAGAACACCACAAATTATTGTCCCTTTAATAATTACAGAACACACTAGAAGGTTCATTGAGTATGTTGTTTAAATCTCGCTCGCTGTCTCTCTTCTTCTTCTTTTTTTTTTTTCCTTAGAAAATTAAGTATCCAATCACCTAAAGCCAGCTATAATAGTGATGCATGTGTACAAGGAAGAAGAGACACCGACCTGTTACGATCAAGATTCAAAATTCAATACATTATTACAAGACCTTTCAGCCCTATGTTCCCAGATTGCCAACATATATGCCAACCTCTTTTTATGCATAAACTAGTAGACGGCAGATTACATGTCACGTTATGATAAACTTTGTATCCCGTGTGTCAAGTAAACGTGTCACGACCTCCATAAATTCCTACGTTCGGGCCACTCAACGCCAAATTCCACCCAAGACGTTGGTTTTAGCCTTTTTAGGGCAAAGTACAAAAATATCTGCCCTAAACTTACCTAACATGTTATTTACATGTATTCCTTTAATTGGTTTACACATAGACATAACATATATAAGTGTTTATATGTTGGATTTTTCAAAATGTTAACTTTTGAGAGAAGACGAGTACGGTGACCAAAAAGGGTTTGATCATTAGAAAATAATTAATGTATTATTTAATTTAATATATTATACAATATATTTATTATAAAATTATTATTTTTAAATTTAAATTTAAAATAAAAAATCTTTATTTATAAAATTTAATAATTAAACTAATAAATGTTAATAAATGTATTGAATCAAATGATATATTAATTATTACCTTCCATGACTTTAAAAACAAAAGAGGGAAAATCTAAAACTAAAATCTTACTAGTAGATGATGATCTTCCCAAATCCCACTTGCACTTACTTTAATCCAATTGCAAATTATCGTGTCACAAATTGCCCTCTCTTGAAAAAAGACCACGTACGGTCACCATAAATAAAATATTGATTTGTTGGATATGGTGGGTGCAATGCAATCTAAGCACGGGGGAACATTCTACAATGTTCTAGCATTTACTAGATTTTTCTAGTCCAATAATATATGGCTTAAGTAGGCTAGCTTATCTATCATCATGTCAAATGATCAATCATTAATACATGGGTGATAAAGGGATCAAGATTTCAAGATATGATATTAATTAAAAAGTGGATTAAAACATTTAATAGAAAAATAAAAATTAAACCGTTTTAATATTAAAAATATAAATATATAATCTCAATCATATAATAGATAAAATTTAGACAAAACTTATATTAATTTCATATATCACATGGTTGAGATTTCACATACCAACTAATGATTTTTGACACCCCATCATTTAATCAAATTTGAACTTTAGATTTTTAACAAAAGAAACAAGTGTAAAATTCCTTATAACATTTAGTTGTTTTTTTTTTTTAAATATTATGTCGTTTGAATAGTATTAAATTATACAACTATATATACTAGATAGGAGTATTTTTTTTAATATTGATATGACTCTTCTTATATGAATGATTTCTATTTTATTGTTTAATTTTAATTATAAAATAAGAAATTATTTTAAAAAATTCATTTTAGTGCCTAGTGGGGGCGAGGTGATAGTTGTGGATCCATTTTTTGATTTTATTAGTCCACGTCGACCGTTTTAATACCGTTAGTTGTGGATTCATGATGGTTGATGGAAGGAGGACAATAGCTGACATACTATTTTCCAAAGTTTAAGGATTACTTTGACTATTTTTTCTGTTGAGGGACGAAAATTAACATTTATAAATATTTTGGGGATTTTCTTCAAGAGGTACTGCGAGATGTAATTTCCTCTCTTCGACAACTGACGATTGCTGTACCAAAAAAAAAAAAAAAACGAAGTCTCCATTGGCGCGCGAATCTGTTCCTTCCTCTCTCATCAAATTTCCCCTCTACTCAAATTCCCCGCTATAAATCAATGACAATCGAGTGAATTAGTTGCCGGAACCATGATTCTGGCGTTCAAGTTCGATCTGGTCGTTCTAGGGTTTCTCCTGTGTGCTACCGCGCTTTGCTACGGCGAATCGTCGACGTGTTTGACGGTTTACAAAGAAGGCGGTGCACCGGCGGTGTTTCAATCTCCTAAATGCCCTCGGTGGAAGCTCCCGGCTCACGACTCCAGAGCACGCGCAGCCACCACCACGCGGTGTCAATCTGCTATGCTTCAGGGTCGAAGGAAGTCCCTGGAGGATCGCATTCTCTGCGCTCTCGATATCTACATTCCTTTTCTTAGTATGCCTCTCATTCTCTTCTCTATACGCCATGTGCATTTACATACTTGACTGTTGTTTGCTTTTCCTGAATAAATTCTGGAGCCAAAAATAGATAAGAAAAAAATTATACAGGAAAAATGCAATTATTAATCTAAGGGAAGGGATTATGATAATTATACAAAATTTTCTTAATTTAGTGTAGTTGGTTGTTCTGATATATGAAATTTGATGCCAAAGCAGCCAAAACGGGGATTAAGCGAGTTGCAGTGGGAATTGTAGCAGTTTTTGATGGTCATAATGGTGCTGAAGCTAGTGAGATGGCTTCGAAACTTTTACTGGAGTATTTTTCTCTACATACATATTTTCTTTTGGATGCAACATATTCTGTTGTATTGAAGAAAGCTACAGGCAGATTTTTGGACACGGGAAAACAGGATATGGGTTTCCAGGTTTTGAATTGGGATGATGAAATTGGAAAGCACGAGTTGAACTTTGCAAGGTGCTTTCGTGTATGCATTCATGATATCTTTTCGCATCATTTACATGTTTTAGAAAAGTAGATATGGTTGCTCAGTTTCCATTGTTTTGCCAACAGTCTCCTTTTAGTATATGATAACTAGCATTTCGAAGAAACCATATCTAGGGGCAGAAATGAGCCGACCTGAGCCTATATAGTATCAAACTCAAGCTTGGTTTATATATCAATTCTGAGCTGATTGGTTAACCAAAATATTCAAATTCAAGCCCAAGCTTGTGAGCAGTTATGCTCTTTTCCTTCTAATCATATATCTACTGAAAAAAAATTTCCTACTATAAGGAATATTTTTATAAGCTTTCTGATGTTATTATGTATATTTAAGTTCTGAGAGTAAAGGAAAGTATATATTTATAACATGTTATAACCCAAGGAATAATTCCCTGTAGTTTTATACTGATACTCTTTTTCCTGCAATTATACTACAACATTTTTAAAGTCACTACAATAGTTGAGACTGTTTGCATCCAGGTTTTTCCCATGGACTTGTGCCTATCAGGAGCATAGAGGGGTTTTGTTCTCTTGCTAGTTTGTTTATTTTTGTTTGATATCTAATTGCAAGCTTCAAAGCCTGTTGCAGGTCTAAATTTTCAGTCCCAGAAAATCTTGATGATTCTTTTCACCTGGACATTTTGAAGGAAGCATTGTTGAGGGCGATCCATGATATAGATGCAGCATTTTCAAAGGCAAGTTCATCATTTTTTTTTTTTTGGTTGTGTTTTCTGGAGAAGTACATTGCTTAAGCCTTCTCTTATGTTGGTATTCATTCAATTGAGCCTGACAGGAAGCATCCAGAAGTAATATCGATTCAGGTTCCACGGCAACAGTTATACTGATAGCAGATGGTCAAATTTTGGCAGCCAACATTGGGGACTCAAAGGCCTTTTTATGTTCTGAAAAATTTCACTCTCCTGAAGAGGCTAAAGGTCAATAAGAAAGATCTTTGCTTAACTTCAACTACTCCATATAGGCATATATTCATGCATGGTAGCACCATGATTAGACAATAGATCTTTTTTTCCTTATTTTTCTGTTGAGTTTGTTTATCCTATCATGTCATTCCATGTATGAATGTGGACTGATCATTGATCGCATTGCAATCATGGATTCTGTGTGAATGGAATCATAGTCATGGTTATTGATTATTTTCTTTTTGCATATTGTAGCCACTTTACTAAGATTTTATAGAGAGCAGAGACGTAATGGCATGGTGTCACCTTCAAGGAATTATGATTTTAAATTAGCAGCCTCCTATGGACTAACACGTTACGTTGTTAAGGAATTGACCAAAGATCACCATCCTGATCGAGATGATGAAAGATCTCGAATAGAAGCTGCTGGTGGCTATGTTCTTGAGCGGGGTGGTGCACCTCGAGTTAATGGTCAGCTGGCTATTTCTCGAGCAATTGGTGATGTGTCGTTTAAAAGGTAATCTTAAAAACTTCTAGCAAAGAGTCAATCTATGATAAGAGATTTCACAATGTTATCCTTTTGGTCATCAACTTCTCTCATTGCATCTAATTTTTTGTCATAGAGCAGTTTATATTATAATTGGTGTTCCAACTAGGCAGAGATTGTGGTCTATTTTCTATTTGAAGAGTGAGAAGGATAGACAATAATAGTTTCTTTGTCCTTTTGCTTTACTTTTACCTTGTTTGTTTGTTTTTTTTTTTTTTTTTTAATATAAATATTTTTTTAAAAGTTTTTTCAACTATTTTAATTCTCATTTTATTTTATTGTTTTTTTTTTTTTTTTTTTAATATAAATATTTTTTTAAAAGTTTTTTCAACTATTTTAATTCTCATTTTATTTTATTGTTTCAAACTCTATTTCATCTCTGAGGCTGTGTTGAAAATTGTATTTTTACATTTTGTGAATTCGAACTTTCTATGAATTGTCACCAGTTATGGCGTCATCTCTGCACCTGAGGTTACAGATTGGCAATCCCTGACTGCCAATGATAGCTATCTGGTAGCAGCTTCTGATGGTGTATTTGAAAAGCTGAGCACGCAGGATGTTTGTGATTTATTCTGGGATGTAAATGCTGATGGTTCTGAGAGATCAGGAATCTCTCCTTCCTGCTCATTTTCTTTAGCTGATTGCTTGGTGCAAACTGCATTTGAAAGGGGCAGCATGGACAATTTGGCAGTCAATATAGTTCCCTTAGGATCTACTTATATTTCTCATATCTTGTTGAGGGAACAGCATGCAGGAGGAGGAGATATAGATTATCAAACTAATGTACTGCAAGAGTTCACACATGAACCATTAGGTAAGTCATGGAGAATTTTTTGTTGTTAACTGCCAAATGGTATGGGTGGTGAAGAATTTTGTTTGATGCATTTCCCCTCCATACTTGTTATGGAACAGACCTCCTTTGTTTTGAGTATCAGTTCTTGTTTGTTAACTTCCAAATGATAGGGGTAATGAGGTGATGAATTTTGTTTTAAATTAAATTCTATTTGAAGTTTGATGCATTTCCTCTCCCATACTTGTTACAGAACAGACCTAATTTGTTTTGAGTACCAGTTCTTGTTTTTGTAGTTATGCATATGCCAATCATCTAACCAAATAAATTCAGCTAACCAATTCTATTTTTGTTTTCTGAAGTCAACGTTATGAATTACTGGGAAAAAAATTTCACTGTGACATTTGCATCCGTTCCTTTACATGCCATTATCACTTCATCTCTCTAAAGGCTCATGCTTATTCGTATTCCTTGAGTTGTTTCTGTTATATTTTCTTACCATTATCTCTAATGTGGACATTGCTTCTTTAATTTCAGTCACGTATCTTTTTCACTCATTTGTCTATAGAATCTTGTTGAGGAAGGAACTATATTCCTTTTGTCTTTTTTGGTATATTTTTTTGAGTTGTGCTTCATAATTTAATTCAGTACTGTCATTTTATAAATCTTTAGTTTGAACTATGATGAATAAATAATAATTGTTGTCTCCTACTTGCTAATCATCCTTTTTATATTCATGGTCAGATAGAGGCATTAGTTCTGACTTATTGCAGTTAAAGGATGCTCATCCTCTTACAACCAAGTTTAATAGATTACTGGTAAGGCGTGGAAATTCTAGTATTCCCTGCTGGCAATCTTTTTCCATTTTTCACTAGCAAAGGAAGTGAGTGCTTAGCTACTGCAGGAATTCAAACCCCTGCCTTGACCCCAAAATTGATGATTTTTTAAGTTAGTGGGTTCCAACTTGGGTAGCGTCTTGTTGTTTCCCCCTTGGTAATCTCAATGCCTTTATATTTAAATGTCGCATGAGGAAATACCCTTTTTATGCTTTATACTTTTTACAATTGAAAGCACATCATATGGTAACTGGCGAACTTCTAGTTGTTTTAAACTTCCGGCATTGAGAAAGCTTAATTTTCTAACTGGTATGTCATCCAAGTTGATCATCTATATTTTTGGCAGTTATAGCTGTTCAGATTAAGGACAGCTTTTTAGATAAAAGGACAAGTATTACAGAGTTAGCAGTACAAGCAAAGAATGGTTGTTCATATGATGTTAGTCTGTATTTCATTCTAGGTTACAGAGTTATCAGTAGAAGCAGAAAATGGTTGTTCATATGATGTTAGTCTGTTTCATTCTAGGTTGAAGGGAAACAAGAAGGTTCTAGTTGTTTTTATTTACATGAGAACCTTGATGATGGCGTCGATGATATAATTCAAAATAAAAAGGATAAGCTGGAAGATTATGTGCTTGACTTACCTCAAGCTCTACCCAATGGCTTCGAACAACACTATGGTATGATAAGTTCTCTCTGTCTTTCCTTTTCACACTAATATAAACATGCCCGCAAAGAAACACACACATGCACATATAACAATATTTTGTATCTCTGTCCTGGGATCTGTTTTTGTTGGCATGAAGTGGGTCAGGTTTATTGGGTCTTGGCTCCATTTTTACCCTGTTTGCTTTATTATGCTTGTATCATAGTCTATGGCTTTCTCCTAACTAGAAGAATGTGTCATTACACTAAAAGAGAAGGTGCTATCTTAAAATTCTTTTATTTAACTTGTATGTTAGGTGGAGCTTTGAATCTGTACAATGATGAACATTTTTGCTTTTACTTTGGGATGGCTATTGGTGGAGCTAAAGAACAATGTATAAATCTTGAAGCATTTGCTAATTTCCTCGGTTTGCTTGAATCGATACCTTTCCATGATACTGGTTCAAGTCATGGATCAGATGAACATGGAATGCCAGACTCAAGGTATATTTCTTTTATTTAGTTAATTCTTTCCATGACTTGATGCTTATCTGTGATTATTCGTTCAACATGCAATGGTTCTGACTACCTTATTATCATGGGGCTAATATAAAATGAATGAAATGTCTTTTAAGAAAATAATTTAATGTTTTCAGAAGAAGAAAAAGAGAGGAAAGAAAAATACTTTCAGATGTACATGGATTGGAAAGCCTGTTTACTATTTAGATGAATTTTGGGTAAACCAAGAAGATGCTATATTGTTAAGCTTCTAGCATAACTTCTTCATCTCTATGCAGTCATAAAATCATCCTGTGTCCTCCAACCCCTTTTTCTTCTCCTTTGCACATTATTATGGGTGGCTATGAAGTTGTTTCATCTCACATTTCTTATCATTTGATTTCATCCTTTGTTTGGTCAATTCAACTTGAACTTCACTGCTGCTCTCCTTAGTCTCTTATGGGTAGATTTGAGATAGTTATTGGATGCATCTACAGGATTCACTTGATTGTATTTCTTTTGTTCTTTTCATCCATCTTCATAGAGCTGATGCAATTTCTTTTGTTCTTTTCATACATCTGCCTAGAACTTATGCAATTTCTTTTGTTCTTTTCATACATCTTCCTAGAGCTGATGCACTTAAGCAGTATTGCTGCACCTTTTTGGGAAACAGGAATCAAACATATTCAAAAGATTAATGCCATATTGCTGTTTTATTTTTATTTTTTAATTATTATTTTTTCCGTCCAGAGCTGCTTTGATTGTTAATTCATCACTTGTTTAGTGAAATAAAGGATTTTCTACTCATTTAGTGCTTAGTTTATTGATGGGGTGTCTACTTGTTCAGTGAAATATTCCTCAAGTGGCTCTAAGCTTTCCTAGATCTTTAAGAGAATAAGGTTCACCATCAGATCATATGGAGGAAAAGTATTTTTGGTTGACCATTGACCACAACTTGTTTGAAATTTAGGCTAGTTTGGCTGAGTTGTATGGAATATGTTTAAATCATTGGATGTGGAGTGTGTGTCCTTATTCTTAGAGTAGTTTATTGCTCTGTTATGCCTTAAAGGTTTGTTTTTTATTTTATTTTATTTTATTTATTTTTTAATAATTTTGCTTACTAGGTATGTACTAAAGAAAAGGTTTGGCCGTGGATCATATGGTGAAGTGTGGTTGGCTTTTAATTGGAATTGCAATCATGGAACCAATGAATCGAGTTGGACCCAAGAAAACATAAATTCCTCGGATGCCAATTGTTTTGGCATGTACAATGGTAGTTCATGTAGAAATACATCTACTGATGATTCTTATTCTCGTAAGGGCAAACTGTTCATTCTGAAACGCATAATGGTAAGTGATTTATTTGTTTGGAATAAAATCATTACAATTGCACTTGGAATTTGCTAATATATGTTTGCATTTTCATATACTTGTCTCTTTTGTGGATGTTTCTCTACTCATATATTAGTGCATGTGGTGTAAATTGTGTTTTAGTTGGTGAGCTGAATAACCTGTTTGGAGAACTTTTCCGTTACAAAATATGTATGGGATTTCAATATTCCTTTTTTTTTTTCTCCCCTTTTACTCTTAGATTTAACGTATCTAGTTGATTTCTTATATTAGCTGCTTTCCCTGAACAGGTGGAGAGAGGGGCCCCTGTTTACTTAAGTGGTCTTCGTGAAAAGTATTTTGGTGAGGTCTTCTTAAATGCCTCTAGATGCATTCAAAGTGTGCGATCAGCTGGAACTTCAAAGCCTTTCTTTAAAGCAGTGCACTCAAGCTTTCCTGACATATTAGAGATAAATGGTTGTGCTATCCCAAAAACAGGAAATACTTGGAGTTCTGAGGATGATTTTTTTCACAAATTGGATTTTTCTAGAGCTGCCTCTGAAGAAGGTCTTAACCATATTGCAAGATATATTGAGTCATTTGAATCTAAATCTAATGAAATATGGTTAGTATTTCATTACGAGGGCATTTCATTGTCAAAGCTTATTTATACGGTGGAAGAATCAAAAAATGCTAATGAAGAAAATGCTGAAATAAAAAGTGTTCGGATACTGCATCCATCGAAATGGTGGTATTGGTTGAAGACAACTGAAGAAGGGCAAGAGGAAATGCGCAGGATTATATGGCAGCTGGTATATCTTCATTAAATATCATATAACCTTTTAAACCATCATGATTCTTACTTAGATAACAATTTTTTTGAGCATTCAAATTTTGTTGTCGGAGACTGTCAGCCATTCTCTTTTGCAAATTGATGATGAGTTAGTTAGGTTAAATGAATTGACATTTAATTGGTTAAGATAGTGGGAAGAAAAAAAATGAGGCAAAGGAATAAGGATGTTTGGAGACCAATTCTTAATTTTGTTTGCAGGAACTAATTGGAGGTACTCAAAAACTTCAAACATTTTTCTTTAAGTAGGTTGATTGGAAAGGCAGAAAGGAATATAGATGTTTTACCTCTAAATACAAGTCATCCTTTCTTCCTTAATGATCTTTTGACTTGACAAATGGATGAAAATATCATTTCTCTTGTATGTTCTCTTGTCTGTCCTTTATTTTTATTTTTCTATCACTTTCTTTCATTCTATCAGACAGGGGGCAAGCTTCTATTTTAGTGTCAACTCTTTGTTAGATCAGAAGCTGTAACCATCCTAAAGATAATTGCTTTTAGCCATATTCTCCATCTTAGGTTATTCAACATGCTTTGTTATCACGGTTTTAGTATTCACTTGATCTCTACTTATACAAAGTTATGATTTATATATGTTCTAGTGAAGAAATTTTATAACTGAGTGGGACTTCTCTCTACAGCTCTATTTTCCTATTGTCCTTATTTTTAATTTTCTTGGTTTCTGATTGGGATCCTGATACTACTTCATTTCATTGGTCAGTTGATGGCACTTAAATCCTGTCATGATCGCAATATCACCCACAGAGATATCAAACCTGGTAAGGATGCCATGCCTTGTCTGTGGCACTGTTTTTCATGTGATATGTTCTAAAAATAAAGGCATATTTATTCGTCAAGGTTTTCATTTTAGTCTGCTGCTTTTGTTCTGCCCAAGGTTTTATTCTCAGTCATATTGATGTATGTGAATGAATAATATAATAATTCTGTTTGTACTCTTTGCTCTTGGATATTCTCTTGTGCTCCACTGTTACATGCCATACACAAATGTATAATATATCCAATATGTCACCTGCTACATTACTTACCCAGGTTGGTTTGTCATAATGAACTACTATTTGGTGATTTTCACAAAATTCTTGTTTTATTCTGGTTAATGCCAATAAGAGTATATGTTTCTGTTGTATACGCTACCATGTAGTTATTTGTTGGGAATAAGAGCTTGAATAAGAATAACATCACTCTTGATATATGATTGTCTCGGATCAATAATGTATTCTATAACTGGTCATGGCGAATAGGAATAAAACCCTCTGGCATAGCATTACATTTCTTATAATTTTGCTTGTTTGGTCTTTATGTTCACTTCAAGATGTGGTGCTATGAAACGTTCATTATGCAAAAGGTTAGAGCATAGATGCATGGCTACTTCTTAGTTTACCTTCAGTTATCTTCCTTGCCTAAAGATGACAATAATCTCTAATGATCCTCTGGTGTCTTAGTTTTTTATTCATTTCTCTAATGCTTCTGCATATCTATTAGAACTATTCTTCAATCACATTGATAAGAATGCTTTCTGTATTTGTTATTTGAAGAGAACATGGTTTTATGCTTTGAGGATTTGGAGACTGGGAGATGCTTGAGAGGAAGTCCAAGTGGCGAAAAAAATTTTACTGCTAAAATGTAATGTAGTTCATTTCCTTCTACTAATGTTGCAGACCTGCAATTTGCTTCTGTTTTGAAGTTTATTATGTGTGATTTAGATCTATTCCCTTTGGTTTCTGCATGAAATCTTTCATTTATATGCTTGTGGGTGATGAAAAGTTATTGGTTCTTTCTTTCTTACTCATTGAGGCACTAATAGGTTACTAGTTACTTATCCACATCTATAAGAACTTTTTTGCCTGGGCTCACTTGTTCAGGATGGTTAAAGCAATGTTGTTTATTTGGCTTTATTTTTTTAAGTGTAATTTATCTTATTTAAAGTATATTAACTTGTATGATTTTAGCATTTGTTATTGTGCACTAAATAGATTTTTCTTTGTTTATGCTTAGAAGATAAGAGGGGGACATATTTACTGATAATTACACATATTTGAGTACACATAGTCTTACAAATGTTTGTGCATTTACCTTGTTTCTTTTTCACCAATTGTTTAGGCGTATCATTGACTTTGGAAGTGCAATAGATGGGTTCACAATGAAGCATTTATATGGATCAACTGGACCTTCTCGGTAGTTCACTTCTTTTTCAGAGGTTGTTCAACCGACAGTATTCTTTGTATATTTTAATGATAAATATCTGTTTTTGTCATATTTCCAGATCTGAGCAAACATGTGATTATAGTCCTCCTGAGGCTCTTCTTAATGCAAGTTGGTATAAAGGCTTGACAAGCACTACTATGAAGTACGTGATGTTACTAAGAGTATAGTTATTTTAGTTTTGATCCATATCCCAGAATTTAATGCTTCATCTGTAGACTGAGTCCCATTAGAATGTTTTTATAGAAAGATTTTTTTGTAAGTGAAATACTTTTATTTTGTTGAATTTCTCCTTCCCTTATTCGGTTATTTGTTTAATTGGACAGGTATGACATGTGGAGTGTTGGTGTTGTAATTTTAGAGTTGATCTTAGGATCACCTAATGTTTTTCAGCTAAGTGCCTTCACACGCTCTCTTCTTGATCGTCATATTGAGGGTTGGAATGAAGGCTTGAAGGAGCTTGCTTACAAGTAAGTTTGATGTTTGATCATTGAAAATAATGTATGTTGTTGTCAACCTGTCATTTTATTTGTTCTGAGTCTTCTGACATGTGGACTTAAGGATAAATTATCTCCAAATTATTTTTTTTTTTGGTGATTTCCTAATTATTTATGGAAATTGACTCCAAAGGTCTGGCAAGTAGCTCAACTATAAGATCTCATCAGTAGGATGATCATTATTAGCAATCTGCTAACTTGAAAACTGGAGACCAACCATTATGCTTGTGGAATTGGCTTCATTTATTAGTGTCAAAGTTTTCAAGGCCATTCTTTTGAAGGATGTGACAACACTTAAAGATCTACTCTATTTGGGTTCCATTAATTAATGATGAGCCTAAAAGTTTAAAAACATTCTGCTATTTATTCATTCAATTTCCCTCCACTTTTTGTGAATTTTAATATTTTATATTGCTTCGTTCGGTAAGAGGATAGGAACAGGTTTTACTTATTTTAGTCATTTTTGTTTATTTATTCTTCATTTTTTTTTTCTGATACTAGAAACAGAAAAGGGTTTTTTTTTTTCTTCAGTATGGCAGATGGAGAACTTGTTTATCAGGGTGCTGAAAACTTTTTATCATTATTTTATACTTTCCTTGTTTTTAATGCAATACATGATTGATCAACCAAAGAAATATGATCTGCTTGATGTGAAAAGAATAGATATTTTTGTCTCCTTTTTGATTCCTGGAGTTGTGCTACCAGATTAAGATCGTTCATGGAATTGTGTATATTAATCCCTGGGAGTTCCTCAAACCATTATCGCACAAGGAACCAAGTAAGTTTGCTGTCTTATTGCTAAACAGGTTTCTTTAGTTTGCCAGTTTTGGACTATGTCTTTGGGTAGCGAAAAGACAGTAGGTAATAGCTGTGGTGGAAATCATTTCTTTCTCTTCCATCATCTAGGAGATAATTGATATTGTCTAACTATCATTGTAGAGTCACCTTTCCTTGATTATCTTTCATCCTCTTTAAAGTTTTATTGGTTGCATGGAATCAAATGACATGTAGAGAAACTTTAGAAAGACTTAAGTTGTGAGCTCAGTGTCTTTTCTGTTTATTGTCTCAGAACCAGCCAGACCAAAGCCAAAGCCAAACCTAATCAAAAACCTTTCACTGATAGAACTGCAGGTGGTTTTAGGAGGAAGGGTTTTAGGTCTCGATCTCAGTCATGGTTTAGTTGGCCAATAGTACTACTAGATATTGATGTTTGATGATATCATGCTGGTATTGAGCTTATTGATGCCAGCACTACAAGGTAAAGAATTTCATCATGTGTTAAAATTTTGAAAATTGAACTATCATATGTTTAAATTGGGCAGTAAAAGAAAAAAACTATCAGGTTTATTAATGAAAACCAATATTGTTAAAATAACACATCAACCTGAATCTTGTCAACTATTTTACATGGTTTGAGCTACTACACTGGTAGGCTGGCTCTTTATTCATTCTCAACAGGTATTGCCTTGGTTATAGAATTTAGTTATTTTATTCTATTTAGAGGATGTTGCGAAGGATGGTTTTCTGCACCTTTGACCATGCCCTCATCTCTGTAATGAGATGGATTTCTATCTGTGGTCATTAACTCTGCCTTTTGGATCTAGGGTGGCGTTCCTCCTGCTTCCTGGAAATGTTCTGAAGAATTTTTTGCCCATCAAATAAAGAGTAGAGATCCCCTAAATCTGGGGTAAGTTCATGCATTTTGGGATATTTGCATTGCATGGTAGTATTTGACTCTGGTGCTTTTGTGGTCTCAAGCCATTATTCATATTGTTGGTTGAACTTCTCTTTAGGTTTCCAAATATTTGGGCTTTGCGGTTAGTGCGCCAGCTATTGCTTTGGGACCCGGTAAGATTTTAGGATTTATAACTACAATCAAATTATTATGAGACTTTTCTTTGAAGATTTCATGATTGAAAAGGCTTATATTAGGATCTGACAAGAAAGACTTCATTACTTTCTTGTATGTCTGTCCTTACAATGCTTTGAAACTAAAGCTGTTAAATATGTTTTTCCCTTGATGCATGTTATTGCTATTCATTGATCCCTTGGCTGAGAAATTACTATTTAAATTAATCACATGCCAAATTATGAAAAAAAGAAAATTTGTTTTTGAGACTTCCTTTGTTTTTATGTTAAATACTCCTGAGCACATATTTTCTATCCCTAGGGCTTGTTTGGTTGAATTAATGGCTATTCCTTGGTCAAACTAAATATAAGGCAAAATTTTGAAAGTATTTGAGAAGCTGGGAATGTGCTTCTTCATAGTTATAATTTCTACTTAAGATATGATTAAGGAATATGTATTCTGCACCTCCAGTAAGGACTAGATTTTTGTTAATTATCTCTTAATTTAGTAGAAATTATAACTATTAAGGAATACCTATTCCTAGCTTTTAAAAGAAGTTTCTTAATTTTACCTTTATTTTCATAGTTTGACTAAGGAATACTTATAACTCCCAACTAAACCTAAATGCATAAAGTTCATTCTCTAATGCCCTTGTTGCATTTTTTGATTTTTCATAAATTTCTGACAACTTGAGTTTTTGTGGCGTAACTGGAGGCTCAGGTCAACCTATCACTTTTCACATGGAGAGTAGTTAAGGAGTATTATGTGCATTTATAACTGGTGGAATGTTTAATAGTTTTATAAGAAATATTACAAATAAGGCGGTGATACAATTCTTACATAGTAAAGTTCTTTACTAATTGGGCATTACATATACCAAGCTGGAAGTTTCTGGATGTTGTTTATTTGCCATTAGTTCATGGGAAGATTGAACCATACCTCTTGTGGATATGGGAAGCGATTTAACATGGTGTGAGTTTAAAATGCATCTGCTTTGTAGGAGGATCGTCTGAGTGTTGATGATGCTTTGCAGCATCCTTATTTCCAACCTCCCCCAAAAACTTAAACAGGACAAACATGAGGCCATCCATTTTTCTCACAGAATTCTGAGATTTTGTTCTTGCCAGGTAAGTTTGTCACATTTGCCCAAAAACGTTTACTTTTAGAGAAAATTATGCTAACGATTAATATTGCCACAGATCTACTTGTGATCGATAAATGTCGGTCACAAAGGGTATACGGAAAAGTTTCTCTTTTTGAAGATCAATGTCATGGGAGACCAGGGTACAGGATTCATTCCAAATTTCAAGTTCAATCTACCTTGCAACGAAAGATTTAGGTTGCAGGGCCAACTAACAATTTTACGAAGTCTGATGTGCTGTATTGTTGACCTTCAAGTGTATACAGCTTGCATTCGGAGCGGCCATGATGATTATGTAAAACACAAATGCTTACCCTATTTTTTCAATTGTATATATTATTTTCATTGTACATGCTGCTGTGGCTCAGTACTGGGATTGACTGATGTTCATTGGTGGATGTTGGGAAGGCAGAAAAGAAAAGAAAGCCCTTCTGGAGTCAGATTGATTCCAAGTTTTCATTCAACAAATTAAAGATTTTATATTTTGCTATAGCAACTGTTATTAAGCATTTTAATAGTTACACTTTCCTTTAATATACTTCAATAATAGCAAAATAGATGTGCTTATTACATTGAAGTAGATGAGTTTATCACAATCATTATATTACATCAGCGATATAATTGATTAATAATAATTAAACATGAGCAAAATAATAGAAAGTGGACTCATTTCTCGTTTCTCTAGGCTCATGTAAATGGTATGTAATTTTTTTTTTGACCAAGTTTTACAAGGGTGGGTTTCGAACCCACCATGAGGAGGGGTAATGCACCTGCAAGGGCAGCTTGAAAGTCACTTAGCTCGAAGGGTCAAGTGCAAATGGTATGTAATTTGCTTTTGAAAACGTGTTAAATTATTATTAGTTGGTTATACCATTACCTTAAAAGTCTAGGAAGTTTTATCATCCAAGCTTTTTAATGAGTGGATAAAAATTTGAAAAAGTAAGAATTATCAAATAATAGAAAAAAAAATGTAATTTTCATGTTGACCTCAAGTTCAAATTTTAAAGGGGTTAAGAAAGATTAAAAGGAGCCATTTGTTTTTGTATAATTCATCATTTAATGCATAAAAAAAATGTAAAAGAAAAAAGTTTTGAATCCTAAGCATTAACTGAATTTAACTATTAAAATTGTTAAAAAAAAA